TCTGCCTCTCTCCGCCTCCGAGGCGGGCAGTGACTCGCACCACCCGGCGCCGCTTTGGCGTTGACCCTGGCGGTCTGGGCCTTAGTCGAGGGTGTGGTGCCGCACACTTGCCCAGCCTGGAGGAATCCTGTTCCCTCTCCGTCCCTTGCCCCACCCGTGAAAAGTTGCTCAGCTGCCTCGGGAAATTTCGGCTGTTCTGGCAGACGTGGGCTGCGCGGCTAAGCTACACCCTGAAGAAGTAGCTCGGCCTCACAGTGTGAGACAGAAGTTACATTGGCCTCACTCTGTCTCCTGCAAGTTTAACTTTCTGGGTCCTGCACGTTCTGGAAACTTAACTTTTGAAATAGCAGAACGGTCCTAGGGCATAGAAAGTGCCTTTGCAAGCGCTGTGCAGTTTTGAGTAAACATGCCCTAACAAATCTGAACCCCAGCGGGGTCTGTTGACTACAATTTTGTGTTCTGGTCTTAGACATTTAATAACCGTGCAGACACAAGCGCTGTCACACTTTCTGTGTGCTCCACGGAGTGCACGTTTTCCTAATGAGTAGCTTTTTCTGAACCTGTTTTGTCGTTAGCCAGTATTCGTAACCTGGAACGTGTGTTGTTAGAAGAAAGATTTAGTATGTCCAGAGTTTTAAAATGTGGCATGCCCTCACAAGCAAACTTCTGATTGACCTTATCTAACATCTCAGCTGTGTTGCTCCAGGAAAGACAAAATGTTTAGACCTCGTCATAAATGTTTAGCTATCTCTAAATCTGTTAAATTGTATTGCTGTCAGATGGGCTGAGTTGGTCTCTGCATATTATTTTTAATATGACTTTAAAAAGCTATCCCCGACCTCTTCTCATTTGCAAGAGATCGCATTGTTTCCTTCTGTCCGTCCTTTGTTACGCTCTTTGTTTTTACTTTGCCTTACTCAGATGAGAGATAGCATATAGTATTTAAGCTTGTCTGATTTACTTCATGCATTTATGCTCCTACAGATGTCTCCAGTTTGTCCTTCTTTATAGCCAAGTAGTATTCCATTATATATAAATAGCATATTTGCTTTAAACACGTCTGTTGATGGGGTACAGAGGGAGGGTGAGGGGAGATGGGAGAAAGGTAAGTAAATAGAATAAAGATATATAACGTACAGGACCTAATAACCTCAGTGAATGTAAACATTAACCAGTATGTCATAAACATGGGCTAGGGAAAGGGGTTTAGCAGAGGAGGGAGCCGTGGGTGTGAAGGGGATTAAAAAAAGGAAGAAGCTGTGTCATGTGCCCGCCCCACTCCCCAAGATGATTGTAGACGTCGTGTACTGCAACAGGTACTAATAAACGTTTTGAAAATAAAAAGCTGTCCTAGTTTTCAGTAGGACAGGTTTGAAGATTTAAGTGTGATTTCCTTTAAAAATATTTGCTAGAGAATTTCCGAAGGTCAGGAAAAATGCATCTCAAATAGTTAATGTGTGTTACAAAGGTCATAAAATCCAAACAGGAGATACTGGTTGTCAGTGTTTCTTCTCACTTCAGCTAATCAAAAAATATTATAGTGACTCTTAGTTGACCAAAGAGCAAAATAATCCCTAACGGCCTTTATGTGTATGTACCTGTGTCTGTGCGCGTGTGTGTATGTGACTGTTTAACCAGGATTGATATGATCTGGACATAACTCATTATGAACATACAGGATTTAAAGCACTACTCTGAAATAGTTTGATTTCCCATCTATCAGTTGGAATACGTGTCACATGATCTCTTTATTTATGTAGTTTCTATTTTAACTGGATTAGAGTTTAGGAAGGAACATACTTTGTGTACTTTTTTTTTTCCTTAAAAATAAAAAATGAGCCCTTTGTTTTGTTTTGCTTGGTACTGGGGATCAAACTTGGGACCTTGCCACTTGCAAGGCAGGTAGTGGCAACACTGAGCTAATACCTGGGCTGGAGCCCTTCGTTTTTTAAATCTAGGAACACCGACTGGTGGATATGTCAGATCTTCTGTGAGAAGGGTTGATAGCCAGCCAGCACCTTCTTATTTATTTAGACATGATGTGATGCAAAACTTACAAGATGCTAAGATTTCTTGTCTCATCATACCTAACCCAGACTGAAATCCCAAGTGACTTTAAAAGATTTCTTCAAAGACCCAATTGAAGATACTATGAAGATAATTATGCAAGCACAAATAAACAGTGAGAAAATGGCAGAGCTATTGCTTTTAGCCCAAGCTATGAGATTTTAAAAATAAAAGAATCTTTGGTTTTTACAAGTCAAAAAGTGCCAAGTTTTGAAGAAGTCTGAAGTTCTATTTAATAACTGCTATTAACAATCAGCCTTCCTTTTAGTGTGTATTATTCTTTTGAAATATTAGCCAGTGACAGGATGAGGTCATCTGAGTTATCAAGATATTTAAAATTATTTTCTAGCACATGAAGACAAATGACCTCAGAGTTCCTTTCTTTTTAAAATTTTAAAGTTTAGGGGCTGAGGATGTAGCTTAGTAGTTCTGCCTTCTCCCTTGCAAGAGCAAGGTTCTGAGTTCAATCCCCAGTACAAAAAAAAAAAAAAAAAAAAAAAAAAAAAAAAAAAAAA